GCACGCATTCTGCAGCCACTTGGAGAACTCAAAGTGTTGATGAGAGTTGATCAGATTGGTTTATTTGCGTTTGACCACTTATTTACAATTTCGTGGTGTTGTCAAGGCGATGAGAGTCCTCTGCCATGTATGACCATGATATTTTCCGATTTCTGATTATGTATTTATACATTTTCAGACATATTTCTGGCCTCGTAACTGAGCCGTGCCAGTCTTACCAATGAGCTAAAAATGTAAGCGTTCCAAATTTTCGGCCCGACTTTGGAAATTACCACCATCTAGACTGCCATGGCAACAGTAGCGAGTTGCGAAAACGAGATTAAGTCACTTATGCATGCGTGAAAATTGCAGGAGCAGGATTACACGTCATTTCGGTCCGACTGCATCACCAATTCATTCATTTGCAAGCATTTATTTTCCAAATAAACCACGGTTAGACCTTAAGATGTAGGTTGCTGGCGGTTTATTCGTACAAATCGTCATTCACAACTACAAGACGATCCTCCTGCCTCCGATGAGGTAAGCTTAAGCATTTTTACATGATACACTAAAAAGCATTTTTTTATACAAGGACGAATTAATTATGAAGGATCTTTCATGATTCTTTTTTCACCCTCTCTTTTAATTAAAGCGTCTGTTTGGGCTGTGAGTGTGAATTCTTTCAACGATATTAATTTTAATCATTATTTTAACCATCTGGTCACAGCCAACTCAGCATTCCTATCGACACCACTGTTAGAAAGACTATCCTGGAGGGTGAGGGATACATTCAAGTGCAATGACATCTTGTTATTCGTAATGACTAACTCTTCGCAACTATCCATATCATTGTTGGAAAATCCATCATATTGAGGGATCTAGGTTGATTAACGTTCTTATGCGAAGAAAAGTTCTTGTCTTTACCATTCCCTACAGCACCATTTATCGCATCCAGCCGGCTCTAAATTTGGATTTATTTCATCTGGGCCAACTGGTGCTTTCATTTTGATTCCTGCATCGCCAAAAGACCTTGTACTGTTATCCTCACAACGATATTTCTCTTCTGTATGTATTATTTATCGTTGGAAGCTAGACTTGTCACAAAGCCCTCCTACACCTTTAATCATTTTTTTCACTTATTGGATATATTCTTATTTTCATTTATTTATACAGTCTATAGGGCTCTAAAAATTTCACATTTTAGAATGCCTTCCGATATTTTTAAGTTTTTCCTATGATGTGTCATTTATTTATGAAGTGTATTCACCCTATTTCGTTTAAGGTGATGAAGGACTGGTGGTAGAATTATCCCACAATGATGTGGGTAGAGCTGACCTTTCCACTCAATTTCACGCAGTCTTGACCTCTCATCGGTCTTATCAACACCCCTAACGGGACTCGAACCATGACGCGTCAGCGTCTGATCTCGACACGTTAAACTCTATGCCACATCGCCACTAGTGCTCTTGGGTCACAGAGGAGATGTGAATTTCAAGGCATTTTCCATATAGCATTTGGTGTTGTGATTGTCGATGAAACAAACCTATATTTGCTCTAGCAATCGACGACATTACTTTTTTCGTAAGTGAGTAGCTTTTCGAAACTACCAGTAAATCAGATGTATGAGTTGTGTTTGCTCTATTTCGTTCAAGCTGATCAAGGAATGTTAGTTGATTTTTCCCACAATGCTATGAATAGAGCTGACTTTTCCTTTGACTTTCGTATAGCCCTGCTTTTCCGAAAGTTAGAATGGACCGCAGTTTCGACCTCGCATAGGTCTTATCAGCACCTTAAGCAGCAGTTGAACATCTTTTGTGAAAGCAAGACTCTACTCCCATCTTTGTTGCAAACATCAACTACCATTTCTTCATCACATATCTGATTTACTGATAGTCTCGAAAACCGACTCATTTATTATTAT